TTCCCTACAGTGTAAGTTTAAGTTTTGAGACGTATAACCTAGTAGCTCACCTGGGTGGAGGTGAAGTTCGTGTAGTTGAACTTCTTGTACTGGATTATTATCATCTAGGTCTGATAAAATTGACATATTTAATTGAAAACATACATCTCAAAGATTTTTGAAGGACAAAAGTAGGACTTAATGTCTTCATCTGCTGAGATTTTTTTTTTAAAAAAACATCAAAAATCTCATGTCTGAAGATGTTTCCAAGTCACTTTGTTTGCTAATTACGAAGCTACTTATGTTTATCTCACAAGTTACATCTCTGTGGTTAGGGAGCAGCTCTTACTTTCCATGGATGAAGGAAAGCACAGAATTGTTGGTGTAGAAATACCATTTATATATTAAGAGATTTTGTTTAACATTTAATTGGTCAATTTTGTCCTTAGTTTCCAGTTTACTTATTTTGAGGACATACTTATTGACACACTTAAAAATAGTGTCACAAAGGCTTCTGCCAGAAAGAGTTTTATGGCCTTTAATGTATAGTGATTTGCTCCAGGCTTACAGTACTGCTTAGATTCGGATTCTTATCCACAAATAGATGTCTTACACTACCTTATTATTATATAATATTTTGTGTACTAAAGATGATGAATTTGATCCCTGCAAATTTCATATGTGAGCAATTTACTATTAAATACTTGATACTAGTTTACTTTCTTTTTGAATAAAAAACATTGTAGTTACAAATGAAAAACAATGAGTCAGACTGGTGCTCTAGCTTGCAGTGGGAAGTTTCTTGAGACTACTAGCTAAACAGTGCCTATCCCTTACCGTTTACCTACTTTAAAAATTCTTTTTAATTATTGTTTTATTTTTTCCCCTGTAAATAATTCATTTCAGTTCCTGGGTTCATAATATGGTTCACCAGTGAGTTTACTGGCAAAGCTCTGCTGATGTATCTTGGTATTTTAAAGGAATATTTAAGCTAGTATTTCTCGTGAGGGTGAAGTTGTAAAAACAGGCTTAATCTTGTATTGACATGTTCTGATCTGCTTTCATGAAGGCTTAAATACTAATTTCTTTTTTTTTTTTTCAGGGTGCAATTTTCTTGGAAGGAATAACAGTTAAATGTGTGACGCAGGTGACAACACAACCAAAGTTAGGAGGAATACAGCAAAAATGCCAGCAGTTCTGTGGATGGGAAGGGTATGAGAACATTTAGAACTTGTTTATTTATACTGTATAGAAATAATGTTACATTTTTATTTTTGCAGAAGGAAACAGCTCATTGTAAAAAATGAAGAAAAGTGACTATTTTTGAATGGATTGTTTTGTTTTTTTTAATAAAGCAAGCCTCAAAAACACTCAGCCATGAAACAGATGAGAATCTGGATTTGTACTATGAAATGGAATGATCAGGTGTTGATATTAAGAAATGAGATTCTAGAACTGCTTTTCCATTGAGATAACAAAATGTTTTCAGATGAATTGTGGCTGTGCAAATTCCAGACATAGTCTAGTCCAGCTATTTGTGTAGAATTTAGTGCTTGCTCAAGCAGTGGACTTAGAACTGCTTTTTCACTTCAATATTCAGGTATGATACTTATTTTTATAGCCAACTTGGATTTGTGTCCAGTGTTAGTGAGAACATTGATTTTGATGTTTAAGATTCTGAACTCCTTTCCAAAGATGATGATCCAGGGATTTGCTCGCATTGCTTCCCAACTTGCTGATGCTTATGGTTCTTCTAGTGCTTGTACTTTTGAATTCAGATATCTCTTCCTCCAAAGTTAAAACTTTGAAGTTCCACATAATTTAATGTTTTGTCATAAACAAATACCCTTGTTCTTATCAGACAGGCATTTGATTTCTCTTGCAAAATACCTTATTGGAGAAGATGTCCTAACTCCAAGTTAACCATGCAGCAAGTCTGGTACAAGATGTGACTTCAGTCAAATGTAAAAAATGCATTGCGTTGTGTGACTATTAATTGCAGAACTTTAATAAACATGGTTGGTTTTTTTAGGTCTGGATTCCCTGGAGCACAGCCTGTTTCCATGGACAAGCAAAACATTAAATTTTTGGAGCAGAAGCCATACAAAGTTAGCTGGAAAGCAGACGGCACTCGGTAAGTTTATTTTAAATGAAAAAGAAACCCAGTAAGTAGGGTAGATGGTTTGTATTTTCTCGGGAAAGTGAATTCGCCTGTACAAAGGACAAAGCGTATTCTAACAACAAAACTGACTCCAGAGATTTTTTTCTTTTTGCTGTCTTGGTACCTAACATTTGCTGAAGTCTGTAGTCAAGTTTTCTTTTTAGCAGCTGTTCTGCAGACTGACTATTAAATGTATGTACCTTTATTGTTCTCCATAACCTTGCCTGTCTGTCAGCCAAGACTTGCCACCAAGGTCTTAGAATAATCTTAGATAACAAGAAGAGCTTTTCAAGATAAAGAATTTATTTATAAAAGCTAGATTAAAACTTCTAGTTGATCCTTCAGAAGCTGGCTAGTATTAAAAATTTCACAGGGGTTTTGAATCCGTACTGTGATGCTTTGTTCAAACTTGTAGTTCTGCTCAACCAGAGAGTCAATAGTTTCATCTTCCCTCACCAGTTCTCTTACGTTCATTGTAAGGGTAACTTTTTTTTATAACAGACTGCAACCTGATTGGATTGATGTGTTGACCCTCTTTAGTGTTGTTATTTCTGGTTTGAAATGCACCCTTGTGTTTAATTTCTACACACTATTCTCATCTTAGTATTTCTAAGTAGGAGAAGCGCTGTATGTCATCAAATGCAGAATGGCAAAACGCTTTTTGCTCTGATTGTAACTGGTTATAGATCAGTCTCGACTGCGTGAAACTTGATTGCCTGGACATGTGCATCTGGTATCGTTGGGTATCCTTTCATTGCTTTGTCTTATATGAAAAAGCTGTATCACACAGGGTCTTTTGCCTCTACATCCAGCAGCTTGGATGAGGTATAGAAAGTATTTGCTGCTCACACTGAAATAAAATTCCAAATGTTAGGTGGCCTGTTTCCTTGTACTCTTGCAAAGAGGTACTGTGGCTCTTCATACAAACAAATCTTTCTTGAGTAAAATTCCGAATCTCCAGAATCATACTTATTTTCATAGAACGGAATACATTTAACAGGATGGAACATTTGTGAAATTGCAACCATTTTCTTGACATTTTTAAATCATCGTCAGTGGGGATGGATGCTCTAACCTGCTTTTCTTCAGTGTTTCTGGTTTCAAAACTAAAATCAAGAATCCCAGATATTAATGGAAAAGGTTTTAACTCATAGCATTCAGATCACAATCTTCCTTTCTGTTGTGGGCACTATCTTGTGGTAATTAATAATGTAATTTCTTACATCATAGTCAGTAGTGTCTCAATAACAGGAAGACTTTAAATTGTGTGACACATTCATTCCAAAAGCTTGATTTTTATTTCTAAATTATGTTCTTTATATACAGTAGTATTTAAGCAATTGTAGGCTGGGCTAAGTGGAATGACTTTAGTTTTTATTCGCTTAGAGCAATTGAGTAGACTTTTAACCTGCTTTGACTTGATCAGAAAAAGTGCAGTTTCCATGAATGTAGACATGGTAAGAGGACTGTTATGCTTACTTGTGCATGGTGCTTTAGACAAGCAACAGAGTTCAGTGTTCACACGTGTACAGGTTAGAAGGCATCAGCTGTGTGGATGAAATATATGCTTTCAAAAACAGGAGGTAAGAATTTTTGTTTTCAGACTGGTGAAGTTAAAATACTGGGTTTTTGTATAGATATGGGCAAAAGAAGTTTTGTTTTAGCAGTGCAGTGGAAACCATTCTATCTTCCGTGTGCTGAGACAACAAAGTAAAGTTTTGATACTAAATAAACAAGCAGTGTAGGCTATCTTCTAAATTTTTTCCAGTGTTCTTTATTTTGTTGGGTTTGTTATTTTTAGTAATAGAATGGAGTATCCTAGATAATGAAAAGCCTGGAAAATATGGGGAATTGGGTGTCTTACAAGAATTACAAAGTGGCTCCACATGGAGTCAGTCAGGATTCAGCACAATTTAGTCAGAAATAAGCTGTCTCCTATAAAAAATGAAAACAAAACAACATACAACCCTTCAGGTCTCTCATCTGTGGAGTTTGTACTTCAAGGGTTTATTAGCTTGATCAGAGCATGGTGTGAAAATACAAGGTGAGATTGCACTCACTATGGCATCCAAGCCTTAAGAAATGGGTGGGAATATTTGGCTTATTAACATCGGCTGGCTGTAATGCACAGGCACTTGGGTAATACGATGCAGGCGTTCTCAGAGCATGAGGTTACAGAAGCATGGTGTTGGGAGAGCGAGGCTTATTCTCAGAGCAGTGCAGTGCACTCAGAAGCTGCTGAGCCTAAACAAGTAAACGCAGCCAACTTAAACTGACCATGCGAAGAGCCAGATGGGAGTCTTTGCATTTATTATGCTTTTAATTCACATTCCAGATACACTGCTCATGGACTTGTATAACTATGAAAATGTGTTTACAAGGTATTGTGTCCTGTCCAGCTCAGATATTGGTAATCCTTGCCTTTTTTTCACAGCTTAGTCCTTCAGGAAGCCTTTGTTTTAGGGTAGGTTTACACTAGTATTTTAGTATGTATTAAAGATAGTTTATGGAAATGTTTTTGTATAATTTAAGCCTATTGCTTCAAGAAATAGTAATGGCAGAAAATAATTCGAATTTTAAAATAATTTCTTTACAGAAGGCCATTTGATATTAAAGGAAAAAATTGCTTCATCTGCAGTGTCTCTAGTGTGCATTACTACTGAAGAATAATCTTTTCTAAACTGAACATTAGCTGATACAGATTGATATGTCTTAGAATAAATACTAAGATGGTGTAAAATTGCAATTAGTGCTATTCCATAGCTTTTTTCCCACTTTTTTTTTTTGTATTTTCAACATGAAGTGTCTTTCTTTGTCATATGTTATTCATTTTGAAAATGGAATTCTTATGGAGTGTTCTTAATTTCTTATTCAAATATACAGGATGCATACATTCTGAATGCTAGAATAAATACATAGAAAATAGTAGTGCACCTGGAAGACTGCATTTTGTGAAAGGAATTAAAGTGCACCTGTCATTTCTTGTAGGAATTTTCAGTATTCTGGACTTTTGTATCTTCTGTTTTTAGAGTTCTAGAATGGTGACAAAACAGAAAGGATAAAGAATAAAGCTGAAGGAACTAAACAGTTCTTTTAAATTTTCTCAAAACATAACATTTTCTCGTAATTGGTTATAGAGATACACAGACTGATAGGTGTATTCAGGGAAGAAAATGGCGCTACAAAGATCCATTGTTAGTGAAATTCAGCTGAAGGAATGTTGTGAAAGAGAGATTAAAGATGAAAACCTGAGCTATTATTTGGACGTTTAGACACTGCGTGACATCTACCCTAATCAACAATGAAAAATTACAATGGTGATTTTTACATTGGACATGCTTCTAATTATTTTGTTGTTTTCCAACGATCCAGACTCCATATGCAATTAAACAGATTTTCATTAATTATTCTGAATGCTTGTGTTGACAAGCATGACCTTCCTGAATTTAATATTAAGACATCAGTTAGTGGAGACCCATTTATGGATCCCCTGCTTACTTTACTGTCATCAAATATCTCTGAAGCTACTCTGTTAAGGATGGTTTAGATGCAGCAGTCTAAGGTTTGCTTATTACAGTAGTATTTGGCGTACATACTTCTTGTTTTCTTTTGTTCTCTCTCTGCTTAAAAAAACATTGCCGTTTCATTGACTTGATTGGACTTACAGAAAAGCAGATGCTTAACTACTAACTTTCTATTATACTTTCTTACTTAAAACCCTCTCATCTGGGTTAATAGCAATTTGTTCAACTTAGTCAAACTTCTTAAATTTCACCATTGTTAAATACCTGCATTTTATTCCTGCAGCAGTAGTTTTCTCTAGAGGTTTTATGGCTGAAGCCTTTATTTTTAGATTATCTTAACTGACATGTAATGTCAGTAATTTCACTGAGGACTTTTACTCCAAAGGCATTTGCTGTTCCTAGATTGAAAGCTGAACTTTCACCCTTCTGGTTTAAGAGCTGTGGTGTTGGTGGGGTTTTTTTGTTAGTCTGTCTGTTTTTCGGTGGTAGAACAGCACGTGTTTTCTTGCTTATTATTGTATTTTTCTACCCATAACTTTAGGAAAAAAAGAAAGTATTTCCCTAAATGAAAGAGCATTTTTTATCATCTTGTGTTGACTAAATAATGTGAAATTTATTAGTTAAATAATTTGACAGTGATTCTATAAAATATTTTGGGGAAATGTATTGGAATAGTGTCTTACACACTTTTGTAAATATGTGGGTTCTGAGTCTGGTTTGGGTCAAAACTCATCCTCCTCGATTCTCTTGGAGACCTGAGTTCCAAATCTTTTGACTTGCCATTGCTTAGTCTGTCCTGATTCGTGGAGTTTGTGCCTACGCTGTGGTCTTGCTCTTGTCCAGTGCTTGCTTTCCGGAGCCCTTGACCCGTGAGCATCAGCAAGGCACGCCTCCTTGTTCTCACTCCAGCTTTCCTTCTGGAGCGTGTTCGCTCCAGAGGGAAATGCCATGTGGACAAATACTTCGTCCCTCTTGTTTATAAATGCCTGCGTGGTAGGGATGTATACATCTGCATCTCAGGCTTAGACAAATGAACTTTAAAAGAGCTTTGAAGCTCACTTAGCATTGGCTCTTTGGAAAAATATTTCCTCTGTGCCAGCTATTTGCATGTATGTAAATACTATATGCAACTCCTTTTTGGGGAAAAACACCTCTAAAATCGTATTGCTTCAGATTATTATTATAAAAAAATAAATAGTCTGTAGCTGTTATGACTAGTTTGGTGTGAATTCTATCCTGTATATTTATTGGAGCAGTTGTCAAACCTCTGGTGTCATAAAAACAATTTTAATGCTAATCTATTCATAAGACACAGAAATCCAAAGGACAAATTTCCTGCTACTAAAATCATGCCTTTGGGCTTTGTTGAGATGAAATATACGTTGTATGTTACCAGTAGCTACGAGGTGTGCACAGCTTTGCACATGTATCCAATTTTGTAGTGCTGTG